TAAATGGCAAAGAAAAACAGGGTTGAGAGACCCATCCCACCCCTTCATTCCCCAACACCACCTGGTCTTCTGAGCATGAATGGGTGCAGGACTAGAGGGTCCCGAGCCCTGTCGTGGGGGTCTGGGTAATCCCCCATCCACTGGGCCCAAACAGCACCGCATCCTCTTGCCCCCCTGAGATACTAGCTTAAGAAGAATGCCATGGAGGGGCCCACTTTGGCATGGCAAAGCTCCTGCCTTGCAGTGCAGGTGTGAGGCTGCAAATTCGATCCAGGCTGCATCTAGTAATAACCAGGAGGGCACGCAATGCTGAGGATCACGCTGGTGTTGACTGTCTGCGTGGCATGCACTTTAACCCTTGTACTACCTCTGTCTCTTTTATTGTGCAGTTATTTACATTTTGGGGGTTGGGTCACATTCAGCAGTGCCCAGGGGCATACCTCTGGATCTGTGCTCAGGAATCATTCCAGGCTGGACTCAGGGGAAGATATTTGGGTGCCAGGAAATAGAACCTGGGTTGGTGACATGCAAAGCAAGTGTCCTACCCACTGTACTAGCTCTCCAATCTTCCAGGAGAGTATATTTTAGAAGTTCTTATCACAAGAGAAAAATTGTAACTATAGAAGAGGTGACTGTTTGCTAGACTTTTGATAAGGACTATTTTATAATAAATACAAGCATCAACTGATTAGTTTCTACACTAGAAACTAATCAAATGTATGTTCATATGTTCATATGAAAAGGAAAGGAAAAAGATCCCCATGACTCTTCTTGTCCCTCCAGAAAATTATAATAAATAATAAAAATAATAACCCTACCTCCATTTCCGGCTCTCTGAGGACTCAGAGAAGGGAATGGACTAAACTGGACTAGAATCTTGGCACCAACTCAGTTTGGAGTCCAAGCCAGAGCTGGTACTTCCATAACCAAATACCAAAGAAAAAGCAGTCATACATGGTAAGCTTGATTCTTATGTTTTTAAAAATATATTTTTTTAATTTTTATTAGCGAAACACCATGAGGTACAGTCGTAGACTTACAAATTTTTGTGCTTGGGTTTCAATTATACAATGATTAAATACCCATCCCTCCACCAGTGCCCATTTTCCACCACCACGGATCCCAGTATCCCTCCCACCCCCAATCCCCCCCATCCCACCCTGCCTCTGTGGCAGGGCATTCCCTTTGTTCTCTCTCTCTCCTTTTGAGTGTTGTGGCTTGCAAAAGAGGCATTGAGAGGCAATCATGTTCAGCCTATAGTCTACTTTCAGCGTTAGAAAAGATCAAGTCATGAAATTTACATACAAGTGGTACTACATGGAAAGTATCATGCTAAAAATATTTTTAGGGTCAGAAAGATAGTACAGCAGGTAGGATACTTGCCTTGCATGCTGCTGACCCAGGTTCAATCCTGGGCATCCTATATAGTCCCCTGAGCAGCCCCAGAAGTAATCCCTGAGAGCAGAGCCAGGAGTAGCCCCTAGGCAGCACAAGATGTGTCCCAAACACAAAACAAAATGATAATAAAATGTTTTATGCTTCAGCCTCTGTACTAAAAGGAATACTCATGAACTCACCTAACCTTATTAGCCTCCCAAGTGGCACTTCCTATTCCCCCAGGTCTGCAAACATTCAGCTGAGATTTAGCAAGTTACAACAATTCTCTGGACATACAAGCAGGAGTGACTCATGATATTAAATGTTAGCAATAATCATTTAGAAAATTTAACATTTATTTTTGGAAATTAAAAACGATTTGGTTTAACTGGGAGAAAGAAGAAGCATTTGCGCCACAGGGAACAGAAAACAAAGATTGACAGAAGGTAAGAACGCCGCCAGCAATAAAGCATGCCGAAAGGTTGCAACTGTTCCAGAAGCAAGACAGTTCCTGGACAGATTTCAGGAAAAAGAACTGGAGGCACTAGACTTCAAAAACAAGTCCACATGATTCCAGTTTCTACCCACTAACCACTTTCCCAGACCACTTGTCATGAATGACAAGTTCGTGGTATCTTTAATAGATAACAGCTCTTAAAATTCAATCAGAAAAAGATAAAAGTTTCCCCCAAGAAGTAAAAACAGGGGTGGGTGTTTGCCTTGCATGCAGCCAACCCGGGTTCAATTCCCAGCATCCCATATGGTTCCCTGAGCACCGCCAGGAGTAATTCCTGAGTTCATGAACCAGGAGTAACCCCTTTGCATCACGGGATGTGACCCAAAAAGAAAAAAAAAGTAGAAACAAAGTACAAAGATGCAATTTAGAAAGAAAGGGGAGGGTGGGAGGAAATACAACTGGTCATTATAAACATGGAGAAATTCTCTCCCTCACCAATATTCAGAAAAAGACAAATTAAAACGGGAGATGATTTTTCACTGGCAAAGATTCAATTTCTCTCATGTGAGAATATCTGTTAGGTGTCTTTGATTAAGAGGCAGAGCTACAGAATTTCACACCGTCCACTCTAGAGGACTACTTTCTCAGCTTGGAATTTGAGTGGAGGGATGGTCCATTGGGGGCTCTAACCCAGGCCCAGAGCATTCTGGTATGAGCAAAGGACCCAAAGTTTGTCAGCTAAACAAATGACAGGGGTTCAGGAGCATTGCCTTCACCAGAAGTGGGGCTGATGGACAGAATCGAGATATTCCACCTGCTAAGATGAAGCTGAAGACTCTCACATGCTCACTCACCTCCTTCCTGAAATGCAATCAGACCAGCTGCTCCCCAGAGCCATGCCCTTGACCTGGTATTCCCTGTGTCTGTTTTGTTCGTGGGGGAGGGTCTAACTGAGGTGTAATTGGTACATTCGATCCAGAAATACAAGACAATGAGTAGATGTATTGCAAAATGATCAGGCATTAGGTCTAGGCAACGTTCATCACCATTTTTTTTTTGTGATGAGAACTTTTACAAACAATTCTCTTGCAAGCTGGGGATCCCAGTGCTATGGAGACAAACAAGCCAAAAACTCTCTTAGTTACTGTCAAATGATCCAGAGAGCATAACTAATAAGTCACCAGGCTGCACATAACAGAAGTTTGTGCCTTTGGTCACATTTAAACTTTGACAAAGGAGCCTTGAGAAAACAGAGACGCTACTCTGTGTGCATGAAGGCATTTTGGTCACAGTTTTATTTCTGAGTGAAGAATTGGACACTGATCTCACCGCAGGGACCTGCTTCTCTGTGTTTCAGAGGATTCTTCTGTCTTGCCAGAGGCTATGAAGTTGTCAGCAATGAAAACAAAAAAAAAGCAACATCTTTGATTTTCATTTTTCTGTGGGTTTGTTTTTTTGTTTTTGTTTTGTTTGGGGAGGCTACACTCAGTAGTTCTCAAGGCTTACTCCTACCTCTGCTCTCAGGGACTACTCCTGCAGGGCACAGGTGAACTTAGGGGGTTCTAGGAATCGAATCCAGGTTAAACTGTGTGCAAAGTGAGTGCCTGACCGGCTGTACTATTTCTCTGGCCTTTGCAGGACACACCTTGACATAGGAAAGTAACTACAAAATCATCTTAACCTGGAAAATGCTTCTTCACAGAGCATGTGCAGTTTGTAAAGGAGTCGGAGGGGGTAGAGAGTCTCACTCACTTTCCCTCCTAAAAATGCTGCCATCAAGCTCAGATAGAGAAGAGAGCACCAAATAAAGGGTGTTGGGAAGATCCTCCCAGGATGGGAGATGCATGCTGAAAGTAGACTATAGACCGAACATGATTGCCACTCAATGCCTCTTTTGCAAACTACAGCACACAAAAGGAGAGAGAGAACAAAAGGGAATGACCTGCCACAGAGGCAGGGTGAGATTGGGGGGATGGGGGTGGGAGGGATACTGGGATTAGTGGTGGTGGAGAATGGGCACTGGTGGAGGGGTGGGTACTCAATCATTGTATAACTGAAACCCAAGCATGAAAGTTTGTAAGTCTACAACTGTACCTCATGGTGTTTCACTAATAAAAATTTTAAAAAATAAAGAAAAATGCTGCCATTGAGAATGTGGCCATCCTGTCACCTCTTTCTCTAAATGTTCAGAAGGCACCTGGAGGGATTCAAGCTCAACCCAAGGAAGAACTTCCTGACTGGGGAGCAGTTGGAGAGTCTGGACTGGATCTTCTGCTTCCTGTCTCGAGGTCAGCTGACTTCCGCCTGGTTGACAAGGCACCACCACTAGAACCTGAAGGGGAGGAAGTCCCAGTCAGTGGGAGACTATGTCCCCTCCCATCTCTGGCCTGCATTTCCTCATCCCTCATGGGAGGATGCTAAGGACTGTGTTGACCAAGGAGACCTGCTGGAGCTTCTGTTGGGGCATCTTTGGACCTTTAACTCAGCTCTCTCTTCTATCACAAGATGGATCCAGCCTCTCAGAGGGGAAATCTCACCTGGACATCCTGCTGAGTCCAGGGATCCCAAGGCCAAGGTCATCTGCTGTGACCAGGTACCTCAGCCAAAGCAACACCTTGTGCCATCCATTCTGGACAGCCCTGGTGAAGGCAGGTCTACCAGATGTCCCTGGAGGTGATGGCCCTCAAGAATGAAGGTCTCTCTCCTTACTTCATGGGGCAGGGGATGCTAGGACTGACCCCACTCTCCGTGCTCCCCTAGCCCTCCCCCTTTTTATCAGGATGCTCTCAGGGAGCACCTCTTTGCACTGCCACCCCTCACCTGGCTATTCAAAGCTGACTGTCTCCCCTTCCTACACCCGTGCTGGGCCTTCAAGATCTTACAGAGTCAGGAAAGATGGTGTCTGATCTAATAGCCCTCCCTCACCCTTTCTACAGATGAGAACAACTGAGGCTCAAAGAGGGTCAACACCTGCCCAAGATCACAGGCCACATAAGGGGTGCATGCAGGTCTAGGGTCTTAGCCCCTTGGGTCCAGGGTCAGCACACACCCACCCACAGTTCTTGCTTAAGTAACTGCAGGAAGGCTCTGAGGCAGGGGGTGGAGCTGGGATGAGGCAGAAATGAACCACTCCATCCACTCCCTCTCCTTCCTCCCCTGACTCAGCTGCTCGTACCTACCTGGGACTGCAGGTGTTAATTTAGGGGCCCCTAGGCACTGGTCTTAATAGGTGCTGGGAGCAGAAACATGAGATTCGGGAGCCTCCTCTTTCTGGTGGCCCTCCTGGCTTTGGGAAATCAGCTGCCGGCTGCCCTGGGCAGAAGGAAGATCGGTAAGTGTGGGAAGGTTCCTCTGCTCCTCAAGCCTGGCGCTTTCTACCTCTGGCAGGAGAAAAAGGGTCTGGGGGGACTCAGGTAGCCGAGTATGTGTGTGTGTGTGTGTGTGTGTGTACATGTGTGTGTACGCATGTGTCTCTGTGTCTGTGTATGTGCATGTTGTTTGTGTGTCTGTATTGGGTGTCTGTGTGTTTGTATGTGTGTCTGTGTGTTTGTATGTGTGCTGTGTGTATACATGTGTGTGCGTACGCATGTGTCTGTGTGTGTCTGTGTGTGTCTGTGTATGTGCATGTGTGTTTGTGTGTCTGAGTTTGTGTGTGTGTCTGTGTGTGTCTGTGTGTCTGTGTGTGCTGTGTGTGTGTCTGTGTCTGTGTGTGTGTTTGTGTTTGTGTGTCTGTGTGCTTGTGTGTGTGCTGTGTATGTGTGTTTCGGATATCAGCGCTCAATGTCGCCAGCAGCCTGTGTGATTTATGTGTCTGCGTGCTTGTCCTAAGACCTCATCTCCTGGTGAATGTGTTCTGCCATTTTCTCGGTACTTCTCTGGCCCATATGTCCCCCGAGTGAGACCAGGCTTTGCTGGGACAGGCACAGGAGGTCCCACTGGTCTGGGACATTCAGGTCTGCACACATGCACGCAGAGTGTGTGCGCCCGGGAGCCTACGCTCCTGTGAACAGAGTAGCTCTGGGCCCCTGACGGCGGGCGGGCACGGGAAGGACCTTGCTGGCTGGCATCCTCCCCACCTGGTTTCTGTCCTCTCTGTCCAAGGGGCTCAGGAGTCCCTCAGGGGCTCCTCTCCCTCCTCCTCCTCCTCCTCCTCCTCCTCCTCCTCTTCCTCCTCCTCCTCCTCCTCCTCCTATTCCTCCTCCTCCTCCTCCTCCTCCTCCTCCTCCTCCTCCTCTTCCTCCTCTTCCTCCGCAAGTGTGGAGCAGGTGGTAAATTTTGGGAGCTGCTGAGAGAAACCCCCAGACCCAACCCTGCTGCTCAGAGGCAAGAGAGGCCCTGGGCAGGACCTGGTGAAGCCCCTCTCAGGTGAGGGCCCCTGCGGGGGACACTTGGCACCCCACAGCCTCATCTGAGCCCTCCCCTGATCCTCGCCCATGAGACAGGTGCCGGGGATCTCCTCCCCTCCCACTGGGGTGTCAGAAGTTGGCAGGTGGCAGGGTGGAGGAAGGGAGGCCTCCCCCGGAACATTTTGGGTGTTTCCACATGAAGAGTCTGGTACCACCCCTGGTAAACAGTAGGTGCCTAACTAATGTTTCCAGTGGGAAGGGTGACAAGGTGAGGGCCAGTGTGGCATTGCCTGCGGGATTGAGGGGTGGCTGTGCACGCATCTGGATGTTTCTGCACGTGCTCACACATAGGCTTGGTCCAGAAGTAGCCGAGCCTGCGTGTGGGCCCAGTTATATGCGTCTGTGGGTGCAGCGGGGGCGTGGCCTGGCCTGGAGCCTCAGATCTGGGTGTGTGTGTGTGTGTGTGTGTGTGTGTGTGTGTGTGTGTATTTCCTGTGGGCCTACGTGGCTGTTTATATAAACACCACCTGGGAGCATCTGGATGCTTGTCTGGGTGACTCGCACGGGGGCACAGGCATCATCATTCAACCCACCTGAAGTCGGTCTTTGTCAATCAAAAGAGGCCGTAAATAGAAAAGCAGCTGAGGAAGGCCAGCTACAAATGCTGCACAGTGGCGGGTGGCGTGTTCTCGGGCATGCAGCATCTCTGCATCTCTGCGGGGTGGAGACACGTGTGTAACTGAACCTGGTCCTGGGCATGTCTCAATGACCCCTGTGCCCCTGTCAGGTTGCCAGGAACGGAGTGTCTGAGAGCCAGGAGCTGGGCTCCAGGGAAGGTTCTGGAAGGACCTTTGTGTAGTAGCCAGCCCCCCACGCTGACCCTGAGCGTGCCAGACTTTTCTCTCGTCCTCCAATCTCTGCTGTCACCTTGCTCTCCTGTGACAAACCAGGAGAGACAAAGTCATCTGTCTGTTCCTTCAGACGCCACCCCTGGCCCCCGATTCCAGATCTCCCTGGCTGTCCCCTGCTCCATTCCACCCAGCCCATGGGGAGTGCCCCCCTCCCTTTTGAATTCAGGGGCTCCCTTGGGTTCTTGGGCCCAAGCAGCTCTGCTCAGAGGGTCTGACAGGGCCCCTGCCACTGCACCCCCAGTCTGGGTGGAAGCGACGTTGGTTCTAGTCAGGGGCTCCCCACTTGGCTAAGTGTTCTCGCTCCAGTAGGACCCAGCAATCCATTCTCTGGCCATTTAGGTGGACTCGGTCTTCCTTTTTTTTTTCTACTTTGATTACATTCATTATTTCGACAAAAGATGCACCATTATTGTTTAGAGTTTACACCCAACAATCAGAACTGCTGAAAAGGCATTGTGACATAATTTGTTTTCTACAGCTGGTTATGAGAGCAATAGCGGCCGTGTGATTTTGGATTTCTGATATTTTACTTATTAAGTCTAAAGGGATTTCTGCCAAGAGCCAGATAATTACGAGATTGGTTTCTGTGCCTCTGGAGCCATGGCCGTGCCAGAGAGCCACTCATGGGGGGCAACTCGTGAGCTTGGTAGGGCGTGCAGGACAAGCCAGGAACGCCCCCCTTCCCATGAGGTTGCAGTTGCCCCGTCACTGGACTCAGTGTTTCTGTCTGAACCAGCAGGGTCCAGGGGGAGTTGCAGGGAAGAGCAGAGACCAGTCCCCAGCTCTGAGGCTCAAATGCCACCAACGCAGTAGGAACGCGCGAGCTGGTAGAGGAAGCCTCAGCCAGCACGGCCCTCTGTGTGTCCCAGCAGCCTCGTTTCCAAGTGTTTCCCCCCTAAACGGAGGGAGACGGCTGCTCCCAGCCCCCCATGTGGTTCTGGAAACAGCCCTGTGTCAGGAAGAGGCCCTGCATCTCCGGGACAGAACCTCCTGCAGCCGCAGAGATTGCGGGTGGACCAGTGACAGGGAAGCCTGGTCTCACTTCCCAAACCTTTGCTGCAAGAGGTGTTGGGGCCCAGGGCTCTGGGTCAGGAGTTTGGCTTGCAAGCAGTGTGGGCATCACCCACGGCGGGAACCCAGCCCGGCTGAGGGTCCCACTCTGGAGCATGTGGAGGTGGGGGGCAACCTCCTTCCCCAGGGTCCTCTGCAGACCAGACATGCGGTTTCCCCTAAGCCCTGACAAATCCCTGGGTGAGTGGGTGGAGGGAGGGGGGCGGCCGAGAGCACAGCACCCACCAAGCTCTGCCCAGGGGCTAGTGTGGAGAGAACCGGGGGGCCACCCAGTCCACAGGGTGAGGGCGATGAAGCGAGAGTCAGACCAGGCGGTGCTGAGGTTGTGGGGTCCTGGGGAGATGTGGAGCTCCCACCCCTCGACCGACCCCAAAAGAAACAAGACCCCATTCTTCGCCAAAACACAGGCAGGAAGGGAGGGAGGACTCCTCCTCGGACCCGGTGGCTTCTAGGGGTGCTGGAACTCAGAACTGCCTCCAGCTGCAAGGTTTTGGGGGTGGGGGGCTGTCTTACAGAGAAATTGGGGGGCTGCCCACCGGATGACGCGCCCTGCCTCTCGGTCCCCGACCAGTGCATGGATGACAGCCAGTGTCCCTCCACCATGAAATGCTGCTCCCGGGCCTGCTTCCGCCAGTGCGTCCCCAGGGTCTCAGGTGAGGGTCTGCCAGCGCGCCCCCTAGCTCCCCTCAACGCGCCCCACCCCCCACAGTTCGCCCCACCTCCCATCTCGCCCCCACCTTGCCCCATAACTCGTCCTCCCCACCCCTCCCCCTCCTGCCCTCCCCCGCCCACCGGGGCTCACTCTGCCCTCTGCCGCAGTAAAGCGGGGCCTCTGCCCCCAAGACCTCCTGCACTGCCTCAGCCCTGTGCAGCACCTCTGTCAGCGTGACTCTGACTGCTCCGGCTCCAAGAGGTGCTGCCTGGCCGCCTGCGGCAGAGACTGCCGCAGCCCCCTCAAAGGTAGGACCCCAGCTGCTCCCAGGGCAGCAGGAAGTGCAGGAGTGGAAGGGCTGGGAGGGGCGAGGTTCAGGTGCCCTAGGAACTGGGATCCTCCTTGGTACTGAGTTTGCTCTTACCTGGACACCGGCCTCTAAAGGGGCCCCTGGTGCAGAGAGGGAGGGGAAGGGGGTGGTCTTCCTGGGAGAGGATTAACCTTTTTTCCTTTTCTTAGGCTAATTGGGTCTCCAGATGCAAGGCTGGACCTCAGGATGGGATCCCCAGCAGGAAGAGATGACTATGGGGTCGTTCTCTCCAAGCCTTGACTGACTTGTCTCTGCCGTGACCCCTGAGGACATTCTTCCCTCACCCCTGCCTGAGCTTGGCCCCCACCATGTCGCCATGTCTGTGCCTGGGGTTTCCCCCTTTCAGCTCCCCCTCAGGCAAACCCCTCCTGGGGAGCCCTGAACCCTCCCGAAAAGCACCACCCACCCACCTCCAGGCCTGTTCTAAGCAGTTTCTGAACATCAGTCCTTGGGTGATTCCCCCGCTCCTGGAAAGAGCACCCCAGCTTTTGTGTCCTGCTCCTGCAACTGCTTATCGAACGTTGTCAGTTTGGTATGTAAATAAACTCGGTTCCAAAGAAAAACTTGATATGGCCACTCCGAGCAGGTCCTTGGCTACAGAGAATGTAACTAAATATCACGGTGAGGCAGCAAACCCAGGCACGTTCCACGGAACTAAACCTTGCCAGAAGAAGTGGTGGAATGATGCAGTTTATTTTAGGCCACACGTTGCCTGCTGGCCAGGCCTGCTCCCCACGGGCTGTCCTGAAGGAAGGTAGTGGCATAGCAGAGATTAAAAACTCCTCCTCAGGGCTGGAGCAATAGCACAGCGGGTAGGGCATTGGCCTTGCACGCGGCCGACCTGTGTACGATTCCCAGCATCCCATATGGTCCTCTGAGCACCACCAGGAGTAATTCCTGAGTGCAGAGCCAGGAGTAACCCCTGTGCATTGCCGGGTGTGACCCAAAAAGCAAAATAAAATAAAATAAAAGCTCCTCCTCCATGGATCCTCCCAGGATGGGAGATGCATGCTGAAAGTAGACTCTAGACCGAACATGATTGCCACTCAATGCCTCCTTTGCAAACCACAGCACCCAAAAGGAGAGAGAGAACAAAAGGGGATGTCCTGCCACAGAGGCAGGGTGGGATGGGGGATGGGGGGGGCGGGGGGATGGGGGGAGGGCTACTGGGATCCGTGGTGGTGGAGAATGGGCACTGGTGGAGGGATGGGTACTCGATCATTGTATAACTGAAGCTCAAGCACGAAAATTTGTAAGTCTACAACTATACCTCATGGTGTTTCACTAATAAAAATTTTTTTAAAAAATCATATGTGCCAGGGAAGTAGTACAGTAAGTAAGGTGTTTAGCATACACTTCATATGTTCCCCCTCACCCCCAAACCCTATCAGAAATTATCCCTATCTCTGTAGTCCAGGAGCAAGCCCTGAGCATAGTTGGGTGTGGCCCACCCCCCAAATAAATTAATAATAAAACAATTTTAAAAAAACTCCTCCTCCATGAGGCTGGAGAGATAGCATAGCAGGTAGGGCACGTGGCCCACCTGGGTTCAACCTCCACTATCCCATATGCTCGCCCCAACCCTCCCCCTTGCACCACCAGTAGGAACTCCTGAGTACAGAGCCAGGAGTAAGCACTGAATGTCACGGGGTGTAGCACCCAAACCAAACTATCAATAAATAAATACCAATAAAAAATTGCCCTCCAGTGCAGATGTTGGCCCAGATGTAATCAGAAAAAGCCACCGGAAAGTTCTCTCCCGTCACATCACCATTGCCTCTGCACCCTAGATCTCTTCAGATTCCACATTTAGGGAGAGGGGACCGGGAGCCTGCCATGTCGTCACTTAGGGATGGGCCTCGTCCAGCATGGGGTGAGGCTGCTATTCAAGACATCGTTTGTGACTCTGTAGACAGACCCTCAGCAGGCAAAGTAGGGGTGCATCCCCAGGGGAGTCCCAAACCTGCTGCTGGCTCTCTCCCTGAAGTCCAGGACTCACTTTGAGAAGAAGAGAGGCACAGGAAGCTCCCCCTTGTCCATCTCCTGGACCTCCCTGTGTGCCTGAAGTCGCTGGCCCAGGCTGTCCCTGGGTGGTGGATGTGGGAGCCGAGGCTTCTTTCTGGTCTCTGGGCATACACACGGCTCTCGGTACCTGTGTGTCTGTGGGGAGACTGAAAGAATTCCCTGTCCTCACTGCCCGCAGCTTCCAGTGGGATCCAAATTCCCTGAATGTGGGCTCCAGAGCACTGTAGCACTGTCGCACTGTCCTCTCGTTATTCATCGATCTGCTCGAGCAGGCACCAGTAATGTCTCCATTGTGAGACTTGTTGTTACTGTTTTGGGCATATTGAATACTGCACGGGGAGCTTGCCAGGCTCTGCTATGCGGGCGGGATACTCTCAGTAGCTTGCTGGGTTCTCCGAGAGGGATGGAGGAATCAAACCGGATTGGCTGCGTGCAAGGCAAACGCCCTACCTGCTGTGATAGGATGCTAATTGCATGGATGCCAGGAGAGGCTGACAGGGGCAGGAGGACAGGCGAGAAATTGCTATTTCCCTCTGAGTTCCAGTGTTTCCTTTCTTCTTTTGGACAGCAACTGGTGGAGGCCCTTTGACAAGGGGCTTCCAAAGGCATGCAGTGATATGGGCGAGGGGTATCGCCATAGGACCAAAATGCAGACTCAACAACACTGAACACATGAGATGGAAGTTGTGACCTCTGGAACTTTGTAATGTGCCTGTCGGGTTGACAGGTGTGGATGGAGAGGGAATATGGGAACCCTGGTGGAGGGAAGCCGATCCTTGTGGTGGTGGGGTTCATGTTGAACTGTTACATGCCTCAAAGTAAATCACAGTTCTTTAATACAAATTTTTAAAATTAAAAAAAAAAAAAGAAGACCTAACAAACATGCAGGATAAAGGGAAGGTAGAAAACACTGTTGCTAGGGCAGGAACACCACATGCTAGTTATCACCACCCCTAACCTGTGCGGTTTTGTCCCCATTTTACAGATGAAGAAGGTAAGGAAGAATTCAAGAGACGGGCCGGAGAGACAGTACAGTGGGGAGGGCGCTTGCCTTGCAGTGGCCAACCTGGGTTCCCGACCAGGAGTCACTCCTGAGCACAGAGCCAGGAGTAAGCTGAGCACAGTTGGTATGACCCAACTCTCTCCCTGGAACCCTCTGTGGCCCAGAAAAGAAAAAAAAAAGTATAATTCAAGAGGTGACATCACAGGTCACACATCCATCTGCTGGTAAGGACAGGTTTCGGAGTCAGCGTATCAGTTACCAACTGCTGTGACAAAGCCCTGCACACACCCCGTCTCACAGCCCCCGCAGGCTTAGGAATCGTAGCTGTGTCCTGGGCTTCAGGGTTGAAGGAAGGAGGTGGTTCTGGCGAAGGTGGGGGGGGGGGGGGTGGCCAAGAGCTGCCTTCAAGGTCGTGGTGGCTGGCTGGCTGAGCTTCAGCTCCTGGAAGGTGCTGGGCTGAGCCTGCAGCTCGGGCAGGTTGTCATGGAAAATCACCCGCCTCACCTTGTCCTTCCGGCACTGCAACTTGCAGGAAGCCGCAGCCCTGCACAGACTCTGGGAAGTGACATTCCGTCAGGAGGAATTGGGTCAGTGCTGACCTCACGCAAGCCGAAGGGGTGACCCGAGAACCCGATGAACACAGGGAAGAGGGCAGAGGAGATGTTCTAGAACCTTCTGCCACACCCATATCCATTTAATCCCATATCTATTTAATTCCTTTGGATTTTCTGCCACATCAAGCTTCTCTTGGTGACCAGGTGACTGAAAGAACATTGGGGGGGACCCATTCTGCGCCCCGAAAAGGACCCGGCTCTCCATTGAGCCCCACAGCTCTGCCTGCCCCTCCCCCACGACACACCTCTCACTCAGATTCCTTCCGTCCTGTTCACCTCCCATCACGTGATCCGGGGATGACATCAGACTCTGTTCCTTTGTACCCTGGAAAAACAGGTCTGTCTTTCCTCTTTTGGGAAGTGACCTTGACCTCCGCAATTCCACCGGAAAAAAATCCTGTATTGGGAAGGCATTGAAGATCACCCAGAGAGTATTGTGCCAGGAAGTGGGAGGCCTACTTTTCGGCAGCCCTGCCTCGGTTTCCCTTTGGGAATGTGAGGGCTTTGGGCAAGAGGATTGCCCTGCTCTTCCTGCTCTAACTCCTAACTTTGAGGGAAGAACTGAAAGTGCAGAACCTGCCTATGTGGCTACTGAGCGCAGAAACTGTCATTTGTTCCAAATGCGATTTACAGTCAGAAGGAGCAGGCAGGTTCTAAGTGATTCCCAGTGTCCCAAGTCCCTCCAAAGTCTCCTCCTCCTGCAGTCGAGGAAGACCAGAGAATTTGCTGATTTTGGGTGAAAGAGGGTGGGCCTGGCCAAAGCAGGTGGGCCTTTGCCAGCAGGGCAGTTTCTCTAACTGGTCCCAGACAGGACGAAAGCAGATACCCACATTGTGAACTGCCAATGGCCACAAAATAAGGAGCTTCAAGCAGTGCTGGAGTGATAGTACAGCAGGGAGGGCATTTGCCTTGCACACGGCCGAGCCGGGTTCGATTCCCAGCATCCCATATGGTCCCCTGAGCACCGCCAGGAATAATTCCTGAGTGCAGAGCCAGGAGTAATCCCTGTATATCGCTGGGTGTGACCCAAAAAGCCAAAAACCAAACAAATAAAGAAGCTTCAAGGGGCTGGATCGATAGCACAGCGGGTAGGGCATTTGCTTTGCACGAGGCCAACCCGGGTTCTATTCCCAGCTTCCCATATGGTCCCCTGAGCACCGCCAGGAGTAATTCCTGAATGCAGAGCCAGAAGTAATCCCTGAGCATCGCCGGGTGTGACCCAAAAAGAAAAAAAAAGGAGCTTCAAGCAGCTTCTCGGTGTTGGATGTGACTGCCAGCAGACTCCTGTTCCACAGCCATAAGGTAATGAATCTGCCATCAATATGTGGACTTGAAAGAAACCCCCAAGCCCCCAAGGCCCATACCTGACACCTTGATTCAGATGAGACCCTGAGCAGGAGGACAGACTTGGTGGCCAGGAAGGCATTGCGTTGTGTTGAGTTGCTATGTGGTGGCAATTTTTGCACACAGTTCGATACTGCTAAACTACTTTCAAAGACAGTATGAAAGTGAAAATGTAAAATATTTTATTAATAATCCCTTTATTTTTCTTTTTTTGTTTTTGTTTTGATTTTGTTTTGTTTTGGGGTCTCACCCCGCTATGCTTAGGAGCTATTCCTGGCTCTGAACTCAGGAATTACTGGTGGTATTCAAGGGACCATATGGGACGCCAGAAATCAAACTGGGGTTGGCTGCATGCAAGGCAAATGCCCTACCTGCTGTGCTACCAATCCAGCCCAAATCAATTTTTTATTGATTGCCATGTTGACATGATACTTCAAATCATGTAGGTAATATTAAATATTATCATTAAGATCCGGGCTGACGGCCCCAGAAGCACAAGGACTTAATGCAGAGCCCGGCAGCTTGGAGCAGAAAAGTGAATGGACTATGCGTTAATCCAGGCCATCAGGTCTGTCCAGAGGGGAGAGGGTGTTGCCCCAGTCGCCTTCTCCTCTCTGGAAAGAAAGATGGCGGCCGCATGGGAGCCTTGTGGACAGCAGGTATGAGCCGGGGTAGTGGGGGCGACTAAAACCTCATGGGAAGGGGGGCGTTTCGGTCCGCCCTTCACGCCCTACTGAGGCCACCAGTTGCCCCCCACTAGCGGCTCTCCAGCACGGCCACGTCTCCAGTGCACAGAAACCAATTTCTTAACTATCTGACTTTCGGTAGAAATACTTCCAGGTTCAATAAGTAAAATAGCAGAAATCCAAAACCAACATTTAATTCTTGAACCCAGCTGTAGAAAGCAAATCACTTCACAATGCTTTTTCAGCATGTCTGATTTGGGGGGGTGGGATAAACTCTAAATAATAGTGGTGAATCTTTTTATTGAAACAATGGGTCTGATGGGGCAGATAGAGTGTTAACTAGAATTCATCTGCCCCACAGGGACTGGGAGGGGTGGGGGGTGGGGTTTTATTGGGGTTCTTCATGGTAAAAAATAAGTTTTGGTAAAGGGAAATGTGTTTGATATTTGCATGACTGAGACCTAAACCTGAAAGCTTTGTAACCTTTCCCATGGTGATTCAATAAAGAAATAAAAAAAAAAAAAAAGATCCGGGCTGAAAAGATAGTACAGCGGGGAAGGTACTGGCCTTGCATGCAGCCCACCTGGGTTCAATCCCCAGCACCACCTATGGTCCCTCAAAGCACTGCCAGGAGTGATATCTGAGCACAGAGCCAGGAGTAAGCTCTGAGCACTGCAGGGTATGCCTCCCAAGCAAACAAAAAACAAATAAGATCAATTTCACCTGCCTCTTTTTACTTTTGGGGACACAGGACGGGGGCTCCCAATGGGAGGATCTACTGGTGATTCACAGCCAACCAGTCAGTTCAGTACAAGGTCCCAAGGCTGCCATGCTGCTGGGGCCCAGTGGTGTTAGGGCACCCCAGTGATGCTGGGACCTCCAGGGTCACCCCAGAGGTGCTCAGGGGACCAAGCGGTGCCAGAAATTGAACCTGGGCACTAATTGCTGTGCTATCTCCCAACCTCCCCCCCCTTTTTTTAATGCTGCTATAGGAAAGTTTTAAATTATATATATATTAATTGGCCAGTCTGGCCTAGAGGCCGCTGAAGATGGCATCAAAGCATGGCCAGTCGCCCCATCTATCTATCTATCGCAAAGCCTTTTTGGTTCTTTTTTTGTGAGATGGGATGCGCAGGGGTTCCTCCTGGCTCTGCACTCAGCCCCCAGACCGACTTGCAGCATCCTTGCGAGGAGGCCCATGGAACAGAAACCCCAGGTAAGTGTTCACCAAGTGTGGGGTCCTGTGTCGACTGTTGATGTTTGTAGCGTCAGAATCCTGCCTTGTACTCAAGTCCTAGAGACCCTTGTGTGTACACAGTAGGCACTCAATAAATGCTCGCAAATCATACCCAGAGGAGCTCCTTAGCACAGTGCCCCCCACCACTCCTTCCCCCAGTGTGGATCTCAGAACCCTGCAAGCATCAGGGACAACAGGGGGACCCAGCTCCTCTTCTCCCACCCCCAGGGTGCTCAGGGGTCACCTGCTCCCTAGCTCCCCTGGGCACATGCGACCCCAGCCCAGACACCAGGCTCCTCTGCTGGCTAAGTGTGTGTCAGGAAACTTAGCTCCCTCCCCCGGGGCTTGTTGTCATTCCTTTCTCTCTAGGGGAACCCCGCTCCCTGCGTGACCCCCGAGCGCCTGCCCACCCCGCTGGGTGGACGAGGCGGGATGTCCGGCTGTGGGGGCCCCTGTCTCCTGTCACCACCCCACTGCCCCCCCTCAAGCAGAGTCAGGAATAGCAACGACCGCCTCCGGCCGCCCGCGGCCTCCCTCCCTCCCTCCCGGCAGCGATCGATGCGGCCTCCGGCGCGGGGGACCGAGGGAGCCGGGGAGGGAGAGGGCAGCGGGGCCTCCGGCTGCAGGAGGAGGCCGGGCCGAGCCGAGCCGGGGCGCGTCCAGCGCTCCCAGCCCGCGCCTCCGCGGACCCACGCGCCGGCCGGCGGGCGGGCGGGACAGGTGAGGGGCCGCGCTGGAGCGGGGACGCGGGGGGCTGCGGGCGGCACCGGGGGCGCGTCCCCCCTCTCGAGGACACCCCAAGGTGGGAGCCGCGGGGCACGGCGGCGCTGGGGGGCAAGTCCTGAGCCGGTGCCGTGGGATTAGCATCGTCCCTGCCGGCTTCGGGGGGCGGCGTGGGGTGGGGGGGGGGCGCGTTAGCAGAGTGACGCGCGCTCACGGGATGGAGACGGTCCTTGCAAGGGTGCGGGAAGAGAGTAGGAAAGGCAACCGCCGGTTTCGCACACGGAATGTGCTGGGGTCTAGCTGCGGGATGGGAAGGGGTGACGGACGAACTCCACAATCTTTCTTACTCAAACGCAGCTTCTCGTCTGGAAACGTTGGTGGAATTACCGAGCCCGTTTCCAAGAGCGGGAAGAGGGATTTGCCCACCTGGGGATTTAGAAACTTCATCCTTTGAAGCCTTGGACCCAGGGGGAGGGAGGGTGGGAGAGGTGTGGCGCTCAACTCTGTGTGTGTGTGTGTGTGTGTGTGTGTGTGTGTGTGTGTGTGTGTGTTGCTGTAAGTGCCAGGGGCTCAGCTGCCTGAGACCTCTCGCCTCTTCCAATCCTGAGATGCAGGCTGCTCTTGACTTTGCAGCCGGGAAGCCAAGGCACAGAGAGGGAAATGGGTCTGTCAAGGTCAACAGGAAGAGACAGGCTAGGAAGGTGAAACCAGGTCTCAGGAAGAGGGAAGGGCCAGGGATCTGCATTTATGGAGCGTCTACTGTATTCCAGGGACTTTGCACACATGCAGTAACCCTTTGGAGAAAGGGTTGTGACCCCATTCTGTAGATGGGAGAGCTAAAGCCCAGAGCAGTAGGAGACAGGCCTGAGTTCACCAAACAAAGCTAAGGATATGCCAGGGATCCACTGATCCACTTAAGTCAGGTTAGTGTCCCTTTCTCTACCTTGATACACACACCCCCAAACTGGAATTTTTTAAAGTGACTTGCTGAAACCACAGTGCCATGAGGTTACTGAAGACCAGGTTGGAGACAGTGGACAGTGGAAGAATCTAGCATAACCCAACTCTAACAACAGCTCGGGCTAGAGCACTTCCCATCACTCCCCTTGATCCTTCAGGAGAGGCATGGGGCCTGGTGCACAGTGCAGGGGCCAGATGGGGAAGAAATGCCTCTCTCGGGATTGCTGGGGAAAATCCAAACTGGAAATGAAACTTGGTTTGCCTGACTCCAGGAGGCTGTGAAACAGGCAGATAACTCGCCAAACCCCTCTGGGAGAGAGAACCAATTGGAAAAAAAAAATTGTCTCTGAATCTTTTCACCCACACTTAGAAGTAGATATTTTCTCTCCGTTTGACGGAATCTCAGCAAGGTGAGGAGACTTGCCTAAGGTCACACAGGAAGACCACATCCAAGGTGACATATGACAGGCTCTAGGATACACTCTGAGTCCTCTAAACCGGAGGTTCCTCCGCTTAATCGGGCACCCGCGACGTCCTCGAAGCGTTATTGAAACTCACCGCGGGTCCGCACTCTGGTTTCTATTTCAGCATGTCTAGAGCAGGCTGAGAACTCGCATCCGGGACAGATACGCAGGTGATGCCCAGGCAGGTGGAGGGAACAGACTTTGAGAACTAGGAATCTTCCTTGCAAGCAAGCATTGCCGTCCCGGCTGTGCAGAGGAGGAGAGTGAGGCTCAGAGCGATGGCAAGTCCCAGATCCCACAGTAAATTTCCTATAGAAAAAAAAAAACACGACCCCCCCCCCCCCCCGCCATGCCACCCTGCAGGATGCCCAGATATGCTCCTGCCACTCAGTCAGCATCCTAATCCTCCGAGATCGAGAGCTCAGCTTCTTTCTGCCGGGGCGGGGGAGCCTGGACACCTGCCGGGCACTTCCCGCGGGGTGGGGGGCTCCCCTGGCTGGCGGGTGCACGGAGCAGGCGGGCGGGTCCGGGATCCCCGCTCAGTGCACCACCCCCCGCCGTGTCCGCAGGTCCCCCCCAGTGCGCGTCACAGCCATGGTGAGCGAGTCCCCGGGGCCCGGCGCCGGCGTCCCCTGGCGGCGGAGCGACGAGGCGCTGCAGGTGAACGTGGGCGGCGTGCGGCGGCGGCTGAGCGCGCGCGCCCTGGCGCGCTTCCCGGGCACGCGGCTGGGCCGTTTGCAGGCGGCGGCGTCGGAGGAGCAGGCGCGGCGGCTGTGCGACGACTACGACGCGGCGGCGCGCGAGTTCTACTTCGACCGGCACCCGGGCTTCTTCCTGGGGCTGCTGCACTTCTACCGCACCGGGCACCTGCACGTGCTCGACGAGCTGTGCGTCTTCGCCTTCGGCCAGGAGGCCGATTACTGGGGCCTGGGCGAGAGCGCGCTGGCCACGTGCTGTCGCGCCCGCTACCTGGAGCGGCGCGTGGCGCGGCCGCGCGCCTGGGACGAGGACAGCGACGCGCCGAGCAGCGTGGACCCGTGCCCGGATGAGATCTCCGACGTGCAGCGCGAGCTGGCCCGCTACGGCGCGGCGCGCTGCGGCCGCCTGCGCCGCCGCCTGTGGCTCACCATGGAGAACCCGGGCTACTCGCTGCCCAGCAAGCTCTTCAGCTGCGTGTCCATCGGCGTGGTGCTCGCCTCCATCGCCGCCATGTGCATCCACAGCCTGCCCGAGTACCAGGCGCGCGAGGCGGCGGCCGCCGTGGCGGCGGTGGCCCCGGGCCCCGGCGGCGGCGGCGGCGTCGAGGAGGCGCGCGACGACCCGGTGCTGCGGCGCCTCGAGTATTTCTGCATCGCCTGGTTCAGCTTCGAGGTGTCGTCGCGCCTGCTGCTGGCGCCCAGCACGCGCAACTTCTTCTGCCACCCGCTCAACCTCATCGACATCGTGTCCGTGTTGCCCTTCTACCTGACGCTGCTGGCCGGCGCGGCGCTGGGCGGCTCGGGCGGCGCGGGAGGCGAGGACCTGGGCGACCTGGGCAAGGTGGTGCAGGTGTTCCGGCTCATGCGCATCTTCCGGGTGCTCAAGCTGGCGCGCCACTCCACGGGGCTGCGCTCGCTGGGCGCCACGCTCAAGGTAGGGCCTCCGAGGGCGCGCGCGGGTGCGCGGGGTTCGGGAGGCCGGGGGCACGGGGCAGCGAGGCCCCCGCATAAGCTTCGTCCCAGGTGTAGATTTTCCCGCCAATTCCACCTCCCCTGGCCCAGAAAGGGCGTTTGGTTACCTCTGTGTCCCTGGGCAGGAGGAAACGGAGGCACGGCTTTGCTTGACTTGCTTTCCAAGGCGAGGGTGGGGGAGAGATGGTCTTTATTATTTATTTTTTTATTTATTTATTTGTTCGGGGCTGGAGCGATAGCACAGCGGTAGTGCGTTTGCCTTGGGCGCAGCCAGCCCGGAAAGCCGGGTTCGATTCCTCCGCCCCTCTCGGAGAGCCCGGCAAGCTACCGAGAGTATCTCGCCCGCATGGCAAAGCCTGGCAAGCTCCCCGTGGTGTATTCAATATGCCAAACACAGTGACAACAAGTCTTAAAATGGAGAGGTTAGTGGGCCCATTCTGAGCAAATCGATGAGCAACGGGAGGACAGTGTTTGTTTTGTGTTTGTTTGTTTACATTTGGCTTTTTTGGGGGGGGACCACACCTGGCGATGCCCAGGTTACTCCTGGCTCTGCACTCTGAAATTACTCCTCTTAGTGCTCGGAGGATCATATGGGACACCGGGATAGAACCGAGGTCAGCGGCACGCAAGACAAACACCCTACCCGCTTCGACCCGAGGGTCTTTTTTAATTTCTTTGGGTAACGATTTGAGGGTTTGGGGTTGGGGGGAGGGGAGAGAAATCAAACCCAAAGCCTTATATGCGCAAGGCATGTGCTCAGCCACCCAGCTCCCAGCATGGCTCTCAATGGTCACTTTTTTTTTTTCTCTTTTTGGTTCACACCCAGCAATGCTCAGGGGTTACTCCTGGGCTCTGCACTCAGGAATTATTCCTGGCGGTGCTTGGAGGACCGTATGGGATGCCAGGGATTAAACCCTGGTCGGCCGCTTACAAGGCAAATGCTCTCCCCGCTGGTCCCTCTCAACGGTCACTTTTGACCTCTCTGTCAAACACTCAGTAACACAGGAGCACAGAATAGGCAAAGTCGGGTGCCCACTGGCCGAGCCTGCCTCCTGGCATGATCAGGCCCCAGGTTTTCATACCCAGCTCGAATTCTGTGCCAGTTTCACATTCACCAGGCATCCCCTCCCCAGGAAGCTGCAGGTCCTCCAGCTATCCTCAAAGATTCTGTTGTGGGGTGTTGGCGTTTTCCACCCTGTTTGGGTGGAAGTTTAATGAGCTCCCTTGTGCTGTGTGGGGCGTGCTCTACCCTGGGGGTGGATCTCTGTGCCAGCCAGCTTCCCCACCTGGGATGGGATGAATCCGGTTTCAGGAGCTAGGAGGGTAAACCCCTTGGATCCAGGAAAGAGCCAGGGTGAGTGCTGGGGGGACCATAAGGAAGTGGGGTGCCAGGGGATCTGGCTCCTGCCTACAGGGATTGTGGACTCTGCCCAGAAGCCTGGGAAGGGCAGAAGCAGCACGTTCCCTGACACTGCCTTGCAGCTATGAACCGGGAGGCTCTAGGAAGTGACAGGGCTTGTCAGAGGGTCCCTCGGGAGCAAGTGGCAGGGTCCAGGGGAGAACCGGAGGCACCTGCCACCACACTTCAAGCTCTTTCTCTAAAAGTTCCCTGCAGCCTGGCATAGGGGTGCGAGAAAATGCTAGAAGTTGCTTCTGCCCATGGCCAGAGATGCTTTGTGCATGCCCTCCAGGGGACTCCCCCTGCCAGCCTTGAGGGTCCCCAGCCCCTGCCCCTTCCTGGCCCCAGCACTTGATCCTGCCTGCAGGACCGTGGCCTGGCCTGAAGCTCCTGCTTTTCCTGCCAGGAGGCAGCAGGTGCTGGAGAGTGTGGCTGGCTGGATACATCTCCCTGCTGGGGAAGCCCCAAACAACAGTGGCTCCCTCAGCCCCAGCAGCACCAACGGCTGGACTCCAACTTTTTATCCAGGATCTTGTCTCAGAATCTGCCCGGTTGACCTTGGACTCTGTTTGAGGGGGGCGGGGCATCCTACAGGATGGTTAGCGGGTGGATTGCCTTTACTTCCTCTGGGTGCCAGTACTACAGCTGCCCCAGGGGGACAAACAGGAATGTCTCGAGACACCATCAGCTATTCCAGGCAGGATGCCCCACCCCCAACCTTTGAGAACCACTGCCCCAGGACTGGGCCTCAGGAGCGTGATACCCTCACCTCAGCCTGCTCTTCCATCATGGTCTAGGGCCACTGCCCCTGGCCCAGTGCTGGAATTAACCCAGGGAGCATGTGTTTTGGCTTCCCCAGAGCCAGTTTATCCTCCTCAGCAATGCCAGAGACCCGGCAGAAAGTACACGGGGCAGCACGCTGGATTGTGGGGTGCAGACTGTGCGGTGCAGATTTGAGATGAAGACTGGTGTCAGCACACTGTGGGGTATAGACCGTGGGTGTAGATTTTGGGGTGCAGACTTGGGTGCAGACTAGGGTAGAGACTGTGGATACAGACTTGGGTACAGACTGGGGTGCAGAATTTGGGGCGAATGCTGTGAGGTGCAAACACTGGGATACACACTAGACCTCAGACTGTGGGGTGTCTGTCTCTAACTCTGCAGTGCTGCAAAAATCACATTCTCTTCAGTTACTGCTGACCCCCAGGTTTATTTATTTTTTAAATATATATATACATACATATATTTTGGGGGGGGCCTGGCAAGCTACCCACGACATATTTGATATGCCAAACACAGTAACGAGTCTCACAATGAAGACGTTACTGGGTCCGCTCAAACAAATTGAAGAACAACTGGAGGACAGTGACAGTATATATATAAATATATATGTATATGTATATATATATTTTAAATTGGGGAGCTGTCTGGGCCATACCTGGCAGAGCTCTGAGCTCACTCCTAGCTCTGCACTCAGGGGTCACTTCTGGCAGGGCTTAGGTATTTTGTGCCGGGCATCCAACCCAGGCTGGCCACTGGCCTTACCACTGTGCCCGCTCTCCGACCCAGCCCCCAGTGTAGACGCATCCGCTGTGCCCTCCGAACTTGCAGGCACCTGGCACCCCAGAAACAAGGCCCCTGTTCAGTCCCAGGAGTCTTGCTTCCTCTTCTGGTTTAGAGCCAGGAAATGGGGACTTGTTGCCAATTCTCTCTCTCTCTCTCTCTCTCTCTCTCTCTCTCTCTCTCTCTCTGACCTCTGACCTGCCCCTTGACCTCCGTTGTCCTCCATGCCCCATCTGACACCCCTACCTTCTCTTGCAGCACAGCTATCGGGAGGTGGGCATCCTGCTGCTCTACCTGGCCGTGGGCGTGTCGGTATTCTCCGGGGTGGCCTACACCGCCGAGAAGGAGGAGGACGTGGGCTTCGACACCATCCCGGCCTGCTGGTGGTGGGGTACTGTGAGCATGACCACGGTGGGCTATGGGGACGTGGTGCCCGTGACAGTGGCGGGCAAGCTGGCCGCCTCGGGCTGCATCCTCGGCGGCATCCTGGTGGTGGCGCTGCCCATCACCATCATCTTCAACAAGTTCTCCCACTTCTACCGGCGTCAGAAGGCGCTGGAGGCCGCCGTGCGCAACAGTGACCGGCAGGAGTTTGAGGACGTGCTGAGCCGGGCGGACGGTGTGTCCCAGGCGTCCCTGGAGACATCAGGGGAGAGCTCGCAGGAGGGGCGGGCTTCAGACCTCGAGGGCCTCAGGCGGCCTCCTGACTCTCACCTGTATTAGAACCAGGGCTCCCTGTCTCCCCGGACCCCGACAGCTAACTCTGAGCACATGCTCCTGGCCCTCTCGCCTGATGCCCCTAACTCACCCCTGGGCCCGAGAAGACGCTCCCTGCAGAGACGTGAGCAGGATGGTGCCACCCCAAGATTCACAAGTTGGAGAGCAGCCCGGAGGCTTGAATCCCAGAACCTCCCGGAATCAGCATGAGGTGGGGGGTATGCTGGGACAAATGTCAAGGCTCCTTCGTGTGTCCTGCCCAGCCGCCTTATCCCCCGAGGTCCTGAGCCAGAGGAGCAGAAGCCGAGAGGCTCAGAGAGGTGCCTCTGTTTCCTGCCTCGTAGGCAGGAAAGGTTGGCTTCCATCATCGGTTCCTTCCACCGTCTCTCGGCTGCCTCACCAAGTCTGCCTGCTGTCTGCGGTGCTTCGTGGATCCCCAGAGGCCAGCTGGAGGGTCCTACAAACCCTCTGTTGTGTGCACAGAAATCGCACACTGGACGAAATCATGCACCGTGCAGTGATTTCTGTATGGTCAGTCCTGTTAGCGGCCGTGAAGTACATCACTGCGTCTGAGTTGGGAAAAAGTCCCAGAGAGATCCCAGTGTTGGAGCTCGGAGCCTCGGCCATGCTGCTATAGCTTTTAGAGGGGCTCCCAGCCCTGTGCGGGCACCTCGGGACGGCTGGCTGAGCACTGGACAGGGGCTGGTGTGGCCTTGGGATGAGGGCCGGATGGCGCAGAGGGTAAGAATCTCAGTTGACACAGATGCCTCCCTGCCTGCCCCCACTCCACCCGCCCCCCCAACTCCCCAATCTGACCTGGTCAGTTCCTTCTGTCCACTGTGCCCATCTCAAGCCCAGCCTGAGTTACCATCCAGGAAACCCTGAGACTCTTGTCCTGGGCCCCTCTTGCCTCCTCATCCCTCTGGGGGCAGAGTTCTCGCATCCGCCTGCTACTCAGGATGGGGGAGAGGGTCCCGTGACAGTTGGCTCCTTGCCTGACTGTGTCTCTCCCTGTCCCGCACTCCCTGCTTCCCCGAGCCCACCCCGGGTAGCCCTGCGCTTGGCGTGAGCTGGTCTGGACAGTGAATGTTGAGCGGGTCCCCCAGCTTGTACAGCCCACTGAGGTGGGGGCTGAGGGAAGAGGAATTCGCAGAGACCAGCCAGGAGAGGGTGCAGACAGCCTGGGGAAGGAGTTTTCACGCCCCACCCCACCCCCATCTTCCAGGCTTTTGGCTGCTTTTACAATGATTGCCTTGTGGATTCTGACTCAGCCAAGCTGGGCTGGGAGTGTCGTGAGCTGGGGCCTCCCAGGCGGCCTTGGAGACACGTTTTGTATCACTGAGCAGTATTTTTAGTGCATATTTTAAAATTCTAATGTCTGAAATTTCCTCAGCGCGTTCCCACCCACTCCGAACCAGGCACAGGCACCCTGTGTGAGCTCGTAAAGTCTGTGGCCTCCGGTTTATGGATGGCTTTACTGCCGCCAGGAAATGAAAGGGCAAACCAAATACAGAGCCTCGTGAAAGTTGGAGCCTAAGTGGAGCAAGAGCGCTTTTATTTTATTTGGCATGGGGGGCCACACCCGGAGATGCTCAGGGCTTCCTCCTGGCTCTGTGCTCAGGGATCATTCCTGGTGGAGCTCAGGGATCGAACTTGGCTCAGCCAATGGGATGCCAGGGATCAAAGTTGGGTTGGCCGCGTACAAAGCAAGCACCCTGCCCGCTGTACTATCGTTCCAACCCGGAAGAGCGATTCCTAACCCAGTGACCAAAGACCTGTGAGTTCATGATTTCTCAGCACCGGGGCTGTGTCTCATGTCCCAGGGCCACTAACCAGCAAGGACAGAGAAAAGTCTTCGAGAATACCCCACTGGTTAGGCCCTGGGAGCTCCAGGGGGCGATTGCCCAACAGAGGGGACTGTGTGCAGACCCAGATTATCCGAAGTGCTTGGGATGTCGTCAGCCCCAGACATGGATGGATTCTCCAGATGGGAGCAGAAACGGAAGCAAACCGAGGGGCCCCCATAAACTCACCAAGCGCCCACCTGCCCTCCCGCATGCTCACCTCTTCATGGGGCCCGGAGACCCGGAGGGCTGCAGGCACCATCTGATGGTCGTGTGGAAGTTATCGAGGACCCGACCATTCCTGCACTTGCTAATCCTGCATTCAAGTCCCCAAAGTTGGCGTGGGATACAGTGGGGCCTGTGTCCATGGTAAGGCCGTAGGTCGCCTCGGGGTCCTGGTTCACTCTCCTCATTCTGTTGGTGAAAACTTCCATGCAATAAAGAAGTCCCAGGGACTTGGGTGTGTCTGATCAGAACCCACTGCCTGGCTTGCTTTCTGGGTGACTGGGGAGGGGGCGGGGCACAAGTGGAGTATGTTTGGAATCCACCTTCTCTGGCTCCTGTCTAGGATTTGACACCGGGTACAAGCGGCAGCTGAAACAAACTTAGTCAGCAGCAAGTAGTAGAGCGATGGAGCTGGAGAGATGGTCCAGAAGGTGGAGTGTGTGCAAGGGTGGCTGGACGCACCAGGTCCAGTCCCTGGCACTGCATGATGCCCTGAGCACTGCTAGCAGAGACCCCTGGGCACCACCACATATGTCCCAAGACCCCCCTATCAAAAAATAAGTAACTCAAGTGACAATGAACAACCATTAGAATTAGGGTCTTCTGGTCCTAAGTAACAGGACAGATGACCTTAGGGATGAAAAGAATTTACTGAATGGTTTCTTGGTTTCCAGTTGCTGCCAATAGCAAACAAAGCACATTTGGAGACTTTTTTTTTTTCTTTTTGGATCACACCCGGCGATGCACAGGAGTTACTCCTGGCTTGCACTCAGGAATTACTCCTGGCAGTGCTCAGGGGACCAAATGGGATGCTGGGAATCAAACCCAGGTCTGCCGCGTGCAAGGCAAATGCCTTACCTGCTGTACTATTGCTCCAGCCCCACATTTGATGACTTCAAACAATTGAAATGTGCTGATGGCAAGGACTCCAAAGGCAGGGTGTTGGCCAGGACGGCACCTCCGATTCTCGAGACCCTGAGCAGTCCCTGTAAGTCTCTCACAGCTTTGGGGGTTGCTGGCTCTTCCTTGGGTGCTGTCTGGGGTACGTTACCCCATCCCTCCCCTGGCCTCCCTCTGTCACCTCTCTGAGGAGGGGATCTTTGGTATCTCTTTCTCATAAAGACACTTTGGCATTTTGGACCAACAATCTTGCCTCAAGACCCCTCATCACATCTGCCAAAGGACCTTTCTCCAAATATAAGCAGTGTTTATGGGTTCCAAAGATCTGGGGGTTCTCTAGAACTCCAAATCTTTGGGAGTTGGGGGACTTTCATCCAAGCCAAGAAAGAAGTTGTTGGCTGGGGCCAGAATAAAAGTACAGCTGATAGGTGTTAGCTTTCCACACAGTCAACCCAGGATCCCATCCCCGGCATCCCAGATGGCCCCCTGAGCACCACCAGGAGTGATCCTTGAGCAAAGAGCCAGAAGTAACCTTGAGAATCATTCAGTGTGGCAAAAAAAAAAAAAAAATTTTGGCTGACCGGCCCATGGGAAATAAAGAAATGGGAACACTAGGGACCTTGGCAGCAAGACCAAGAACCTCAGGACACCCCACCACCCACAGGAACCACCTCGCCTCTCCCCAGTGCTTTCTTTTCTTTTTTTGCTTTTGGGGCCACACCAGGTGACGCACAAGGGTTACTGCTGGCTTTGCACTTAGGAATTACTCCAGGTGGTGCTCGGGGGACCATATGGGATGCTGGGAATGGAACTCGGGTCGGCCACAAGCAAGGCAAACAGCCTACCTGCTATGCTATCACTCCAGTCCTCTCTTCCCAGCACTTTCAACCTCCAGGTCAATCGTGGGGGAGGGTGGATGAGCCTAGATTGAGTTCAAGCTGGGGGTGGGCGCGGGGAAGGAATGGGTGAGGCCACAGTACCCAGCTTCTTGTCTACAGATGCTTTGCATGGAGGAAAGGTGGTCACTGCAGAAACAATGTCCCCAAAGGAGAGGCATTCAAGACACAAAAGTAGGCCGTGTCCACCGAAGTCCAGTCCTCAGCATCTCCGCATGCCATCCACACACCCCCCAGATGTGGTTATCAGTGTTTCCAGTGTATACTGGCTCTTCTGAGCTCAACTTTCCCGAAAGCCAGGACAAAGGCCCGAGTCAGAGATGCCTGTGGGACGGCGGGCAGGCGAGATGGAAGGCCTATGCCTTTCTAAACCTCCAAATCCCTTCCGCCACCGGATGCCAAGGGGGCTTGTGGTCTGTGAGTTCCATTTCAGGGAAGCCAGTGTTTGTCCAAGTTTGCCTGAGCACCCAGCCAGCTCCTGGAGTGAGCCCAGAGAAGGCAGAACCCCTGGGCATGGTGGCAGCCCCAGAAGACACGCTTGAAAATGCCGTTTCCCCCTCCCTCATCAAATGCCACCGAGTGATCCCAGATTTCTGATGCTCTCCACAAACAAGTCTCTGTACTTTCCTGCTCAGAGTCTGTGTTGCCCTCCAGCCTCTCACGACACAGCCTAGGCAGAAAGTGTGTGTGTGTGTGTGTGTGTGTGTGTGTGTGAGAGAGAGAGAGAGAGAGAGAGAGAGAGAGAGAGCGCGCACAGGGGCGGGGGAACCTAAACCAAAAAGCTTTCTCCCAGAACATGAGTTGGGGAGGCTAGAGCAATAGCACAGTGGGTAGGGCATTTGCCTTGCACAAGGCTGACCTGGGTTCGATTCCCAGCATCCCATATGGTCCCTGAGCACCGCCAGGAGCAATTTCTGAGTGCAGAGCCAGGAGAAACCCCTAAGCATCGCTGGGTGCGGCCCAAAAAACAAACAAACAAACAAACAAAATGGATGGGGATGCTTCCTTCTGCCCAGGGCTCTGTTCTACCTTAGGACCATCTGCCACTGCCTGTCATAAGCCCAGGCCACTTGTCACAGGGTCCCTCTTGCTGCCAGTGCCCAGCCTCACTCTAGTGCAGGAGGGCTGTGAGCCACCATCAGCTGTCAACTTTGAGTTTTGAAGGTGTGAACCCTGCCACCCACGTTGAG